CAGCATCCAACGGCAAATGCAAACAGACATAACCACTGAATGGGAGGAGGTGAAAGCTCAGCTTGACCACCTCCACTCCTGATCAGAAATCCAACAAATCTTCCAACGATTTAACTCAACCTGGCTTTGGGTTGTTCAAGGGGGAAGGATTGGGAGGGCGGAATAGAAATGGGGGCAAGGGGCAACTGCTGAGAACCAGGGGACAACCGGGGACTACCACCTCCTGTCTCACGAATGGAGTCCGACCAAGCAGGAAGTGTCTGTCCCGTTGAGGCCACCCGAAGACTTCCCGGACCTGTTCCCCCCCTCCTCACAATGTCTGGTGGAATTGGGGCAGTATGGAATGGAATGAGGAATGGAAGATAGAACGGAGTGAGGGTCATATTGGCCTCGAAGTATAGGATCAGTGGCAACAAAAACTGTCAAAACTATCATGGAATATTAAGGGTTTAGGGTTTTATGGGGAAGACAACCAGTGGAACTCGAGGCGTGGGGACAGGCAAGAGGATGGGTAGGGGGGTGAGGGTTGAGCAGCTAGTGGAGACGGGCAGTTCTGGCGGCCTACCTTAGGCTGAAGAGGCTCAACCGCACCCCCCCCTCTTCCCCCCCCCCCCTTTACATAACCCAGTCAAACAATATCATCTGCGTTGTAAAAGGGACGTTGGACCCGTTTTCCAGCAGGTGCAGCTGCCCAGCAATATGTGGAGCCTCCCAGGAAAAAAGAAAAGAAAAGAAAAGATTAGGAAGAGATGACTGAGGGCTGCAAAATTGGGCCTACCCCTCACTTGTCAGCATCTCCAGTAGGGGCGGGGGGAGCGATGGCACCGCTTGCCTTCGCCGTTCTCGCGCTCCTCGGCGCCTTCATCTGTTGGTCCATCCTGTCGCTGTCTTCGTGGTCCTCTTGTGTAGAGGGAGGAAAAAAACCTGCTTTGGTACCCATGTAACGGGAATTACCTGGATGGAAGATCCCATAACTGTTGAGAAGGAAGGAGGAAGAAGGTGGAGATGGAGATTGAGCTGAAGAGGGAGCACCACCAAGGACTCGCCGCGCATGTACTCCAAAACTGCACCATGAAGAATAAGCCAACTTACAGACTGCAGACAGGATATACCCCGCGCGGACTGACTGGACAGGATCAAATACGGTACCAACACAGTGTCATACGAAATGAACGTACGGTCTGAGTTCCGCTGCAACTCCCAGTTTGAATTTGTGTTGTGCGAAACATTAAACCACCAGTACTTGGGCACTGCGCGCCGCGCCGGCCGCCCAAATCTTGAAGCAGCGCGGGCTGTCGATTCGATTTATCGACGGCCCGCCGGCCGCAGAAATCGCGTAGCGTTAACGCTAAGGCGTCGCCCAGGTACTGGTGGTTTAAACCACCCGTACGTTTCCCAGCCATTTTTCGCCAACTGGCCTTGCATGCAGCCGCAACTTTCAGGGGTAGGCAGCCGGAGCAAAATGACTGGCGCCACCAGCCAAAAGGGGAGGCCCACGCATGTTCGTTACTTTTGGCGCGCAGGGCGTTCGGAGCCCCGGGCAAAAGTGTCGCGGAAGGAGTCTGTTTTCCTCCTGTGTCTCACAGAATTTTCCCAAATAATTGCGGCTGTTGTTGCACAGGTAATCAAAGCCAAGGAGAATTCTAACACTGGCCCTGGCCAGGGATTGTATTGTACCTGTATTGCATGGTAGTGAGGCTATCTACCCCTCCCTGGAACTGTCCGTATTTTCTATTCAATTATTTTCAATATGATAATCACATTTGCATGACATTGTTCTTTAGGGGCAAGGCCCAACTAGCAAAGAGGATCAGATTGAACGCCATGCATTTGGACATGTTTGTGGAGAGGTGCAGAAAATCGCTATTGATCTGCTTTTCTGCAGAGCTGTCTGAATTTTCTATTCAATACCACATTTGCATGACATTGTTCTTTAGGGCCAAGGCCCAATTAGCAAAGAGGATTGGATTGAACGCCATGAATCTGGACGTGTTTGTGGAGAGGTGCAGAATAGAAAATCACCTTTGATCTGCTTTTCTGCATCTTTGTTTGCATAAATCCTTTCCAGATTCAGGGGCTTCATCCAGTCCTCGCCGCTAGTGGGACCTTGCCCCGGGATGCAGAGCCTGATAATTGCCAACTGAAGCTCCACGAGACTCCATTGAAGCAAATGCCAAAATCTCAATTACAAAAAAAAAGGAAAGAGAAAACACTATGGCAGCCTGTTCCCCTATTCCTTCATCATGATGTGGGACTTTTCCCAAGAAATGTCCCAATCCTTTCAGCTACAATCAATTATAGCTAAAAGTACTAGTTATAGGGAATAGCAGATAGCTACACTTGGCAGATTTTCAAATGGAAAACCAACAAAGCAACACAGCTGAAACACAGGAAAAGGGAAAGTTTTTTTTTTTTTTGAAGAAAAGGGAAAGTTGCAAGCTTTTTTTTTTAATTTATTTAAACACCCGCAACAACAGATAGGAGTGGTGATAAAAGCACACACTCCTGCAAACCTGATGGAAAAGCTTCCAAAAACTTGCGAAAAAATAAATAAATAAAAGAAAATGGTCTTGTCCAGTAGAGGTGGATCCTGCAATAGTTCACAGAAGAGTTTCCATCCTTTTTTTTTTTTTTTATACAAAAAATGCCTGTGTCAACAGATAGGATTTTTTTTTTTTTTTTTGTGGGAGACTTTTCATACTTGTTGCACCTTCAACTTGAAGATATCCAAAGGGGGAAAAAAAGAAGATTTTTGAAGATTTGATGGCAAACAAAAATTCAAAATGAATTTTAATTGAAGTAAAAGAAAGAAGTTTAAAGAACTGTTACGTCTATAGCCTTAGGAGTAGTGATAGGTAAAAAAAAAAAAAAAAAACGATAGGTAGGCCGTGAAAGCTGAAAGAATTTGAGATAAGAATATAGACTAACTCCAGTTATTAAAAAAAAAAAAAAAAAAAAAAAAAAGGGGATCGCAAATTTGCCCTCAGCTTCAGTGAACTCTCCACCCTGTCTAGCCCAATTTAAAACAGATCGCAAATTTGCCCTCAGCTTCATTGAACTGTCCTTTCTGTCTAGCCCAATTTAAAACGGATCACAAATTTGCCCTCCTCTTCAGTGAACTGTCCGCACTGCCTTGCCCAATTTCATCTTTGTCCCTCACCGTCCCTACCTCTTCCCCTGACCTCCCTCTAATCTGGCAACTGCTTTACAAGGGCCTACCCTCTTCACCCGAATAGAACACACCTTTATTATAGCTGTATTTGGTCAGCATTCAATCCCCATAGAGTAGTATTGACAGTGCATTCCATTCAGGTGACATGCATGTTCTAGCAGAAAATACCACCACACGCTACGCCAGTGGGCCGTACTGCAGAGAGGAGGTCCCCAAAAACAACGCTAGAGTTGGACCCCACAGGAACCGCAAAACTGTTTCCAGGACCCCACAGCCTGCAGCAGATGTCCACCGAAAGGTGAAGTTTCTCCCGCAAACTGTTTTCTGGGACCCCCAGACTGAAGATTGCGGCTTGGAAAAACATAGTTTTCTGTTTTCACATAGTCCGCAGCCTGGAAAGGTCTCACAGGAGTATTCCTCACCGCAATTTTGTGCCGTGTGTCGTCCCTGGAAAAGTCCCGGAAAAGTCTCACGGAAGGCAGCAGCCAATAGTGGCCAAGAGTGCCACGAAAAAAAAAGGAAAAACGAAGAAAACAAGAACAAAACAAATGAGTGCCGATGGAGAAAGGCAACGACTGGCTCAACTGATTTCCAAAGGGTTTCCACGGCGCATTTGGTCCTCCGCGGTGTGGTTCCCGCAAAACTGCTTTCCAGCTTTCCAAAATTCTTAAGTCGCTCAGGCCATTCCGAGTTCCCCCTGGCCTTGGGTAAGCTAGGGGAAGGACGGTAAGACTGCTTCAAAGGGTGCTACCCTGTCTGAAACCTACGGCCCAGAGTCTCTTGGGGCCTGTAGTAGATTGTCTGGGCCTGGCGTCCGAAGTTCCCGTTCGACAAGGCTCGTCCGATTCCGCTTCCACCAGGGCTGGGCAACCTATCAGCGCTGGTGCCTATCACTGCTGTTCAGTCCAAGTTACCTGCCCATTGGTAGGGTAATGGTCCTGAGTGCTGGTCACACTGAGGTAGGATACTGGGATAGGGGGTGCGCTAGGAGTATTGACGTGAGGATGGGATGGGAGGTGGTCTCATATTCCAGGACACCCACGGCCAACTGCTCCAGGTGATCACTGTGTACGCAGTGACTGGCACTCAGGACCATTGCCCTACCAACGGGCAGGCAAGTTGGACCGAACAGAGCAGTGATAGGCACCAGGGCTGGTAGATTGCCCAGCCATGGTGGAAGCGGAATCAGACGAACCTTGTCGAACGGGAACTTCGGACTCCAGGCCCAGACAATGAACTACAGGCCCCATATATATAGCCACCAGACAGTTCTATCCGAATGTCAGTAGGAACTGCACCCAATGGCACCCTATCCAACCTACCTGAACCTACTGGACCCCACCAGTGACTAGCTCCCCAGCCTGTTTTTTTTTGTTTTTTTTTTTTGAAAACTTCTGAGCAGGAAAAACCTACTTACCGAGAAGATACGAGCATCCTCAGTAAGTAGGGCCCTGCGTTGAAGGCTCCATCTATTGGTGGGGAGCTGTACCTGCTGGAAATCGGGTCGAGCGTCCCTCTACAATGATGTGATGTGTATGAGCTGGAAAATGGGTCCAGCGTCCCTATACAGTGATGACTGTATATTCCTATAGAGCAATCTAAAATTGCCATGCCACAAAATCGTAACAGAGTTATTCATCCACGAAATCCAAACAGAAAGACCTGTATGCGCTGTGTATCAACGAATCTACACACAAAACCCTACCACTTGTGTGATGTGTGTGCACAGAGTCAATCAACCCTAAAAAAAAAACTATCAATGCAGTATATGATCAGAACAACGAATCCAGAGTCCTTTATGCAAAAGAGTGTGATGATGTGAATCCGAAGAGCGCAGGGGCATTGATTACTTCCCTACACAAGGGAAGGATTGACCTCCTGCGAGTGAAATGCGAGTGAAATGATATCGAGGCGAGAAGCATCTTCTGTAATCATTCCACCATAAGCCCGAGGCAGCAGCAACTGCCATGAACTACCCTACTCCTCTCCTCTGCCAGACACTCTCCATATCAAGTTTGGAAGAGGGGAGGAGATTAAACCACTTATTGTCTCCCCCACCACCCCGACCGCCGTCCAAATCTGCTTGTGGGATGCTGCTGCCATGGACGTCTCCACCAATCCCCTCGACGTCACCGCTCTCCACGTCGCTGCTGTCATGATCGCCACCTCCGTGCTCGTCATAATTGTTGTTGTTGTCAGTGTTGTTGTTGTTGTTGTTACCGCCGTCGCTGTTGGTGTTGCTGTCCCCCGTCTCATCCTGCTTGCCCATCTCACCCAATCCCCCCTCACCTTCATCTTTGTTGTTGTTGTTGTTGTTGTTGTTGGCACCATCGCTGTTGTTGTTGTTGTTGTCGCTGTTCACACCCCCAATCCCCCCGACGTCACCACACACTGCCCCGCTGCTGCCGTTGTTGCCACCACCGTCTTCGTCAGCGTCGTTGTTGTTGTTGTTGTTGTTGTCGTTGTTGTCAGCATTCTCCCCTCTCTCCACCATGCCATTGGTGTTCTCTCCCCTCTCCTCCATCGCGTTGGTGTTGCCGTCATTGTTGTTGTTGTTGTTGTTGTTGTTGTTGTTGTTCTCCTCCTTCACTCCTATCTCACCCAGTTCGCCCATTCGCTGCTCGCCGTCGTTGTTAAATTCGCTATTGTTGTTGTTGTCAATGTTGTTAGTGTCCTTGTTGTTGTCGACCATCCCACCCTTCTCTCCAATCCCGCCCATTCCTTGCCTCTCCTCTGCCCACCCCTGCTTCTCCTCCAATATTGTTGTTGTAGATGTTGTTGTTGATACTGTTTTGTGTGTATATTCTGTGAATCTGTGTAGACAGTATCATGTGTGAAGACTTGTGTATGTAACCTGTAGGCGATATATAATTCGCAAGCTATGTGTGTATGCCCGAAAGCTATGTGTAGTCTGTGAATCATGTGTGTGTATCGAGGAGAGAACGGGGCCAGCTGGACAAGGACCCCCCCCAAGGACTGAACCAAGCTTGAACCCGTAACCTTGTAACATGTAATCCAAGACTCTACCATATGAGCAACTACCGGAAATGGAATGAACGTGTGATATGCCGGACTGGGGAGAACATCAGAACACCCGAGACCAACACCCCAAGCAAACCCTGTGAAACCCACAACCAACATACAACACCGTGGACAACCCTTCGGTGGTGCGCAGGCAGTGTCTGTAATAGTACCATGCGTCAGCCCAAGGGGATATGTGTCCAGCCGTGCGTCAATCTAACGCCCTGCCGGTGTCCATGCGCAAGGCAGCGGGGTTTTGAACCCGCAACCTTCTACCACAATGCGCATTTCCAACCGGTGCTCTAACCACTAAGCTACATCAACTGGACTTAATTGTTACCATTCTCGGTTATGGCTGACAGCAGTGCTTTTTTTATTTATTTATTTATTTTTATAAAAAAACACCCCCACCGGTGCCACCCTGGGAGAGACTCCATCTATTGGTGGGAGCATCACCTGCTGGAAAACGGGTCCAGCGTCCCATGTACAAAATGTAATCGGGGAACATCAGAGAACATCAGAGAACCTCAGAGAAGCAATCCTGCCAGCATTGATTACCCTGGAATACAGGGGATTGACTGAGCAGGACATTTGGAAAAACTTGAGAGAGTGATTTTTTAGAACAACAACCAGAGAACATCTGCCAGTATTGACAACAACCAGAGAACATTTGCCAGTATTGACTGCTCTGGGCTCCAGAACCAAAACAGCCGTCCCTAATCTGAAGACACCATGGGCATCCAGCTGATCCCCTTCCTCTTCTGTATCTGTTCATCAGGTCAGGGGCCGGGGGGAGCCACTGGGGGGTACCAGTGGGTCCTCCCATCACCCTGCCCTTCCTCGAACGGTCCCCTTGCAGACATGCAACCATGCAGCCCTCTGCCGGATGTAACCAGCTGTCATCCTTCCTCGCTGTATCAGAATGTTGGACTCTCACCTTTTTACACCTGAGGATTCCCAGCTTGGAATGCACCGCTTGATTTTTGAAGACTTTCCACCTATTGACATTGACCCATCCCAACATTTTCTCACAAAACCTCCCCTTTATCGGATTCCCATATTCCTCAACCCGTACTGTTATAGGTGATACACGCTCACCATCTACTGAGCTCACACACACACACACACACACACACACACAGATCCCCTTCTATTCGCAGCCAGGAGGTTGCGCTTGTGTGGGTTCCATTCTCGTCGTTTCATTTCTTTCTTTTTTCGGTAAGGTCGTGCAGTACAACTTTGCTAGGACGGGTTCGTTTGGGGTCTCTGACAGCAGAAAATAGGGTCCGGTCGCAGTCGCCCCTAAGACCGGTCGTAGGGCAGGTTATCTTGTGAAGGTCGTTGCAATTTAGTATAGGGCGCCGTCCATTGTTTCCCTTTTGAGGGATATAGTTTTTTCCCGTTGCAAACTGGGGGCGGGCGATATGGGTCTGGGGGGGCGATTTGGATCTGGGTCGTTTCCGTTTTTGTTTTTTTTCTCTTCTGCTGCATCTTCCCAGAAATACAGTATCGAAGCATTCTGCTGTCTACTACGCCCGGCAGTGCCTCGTTGGCAGGGTTACTAAGAAAAGAAAAGAAAAGAAAAGAAAAAACGTACTGACTTTCGATAAAAAAAGAAGAAAAAACGGACTTACCTTTTTCCCGAGAGCTGTGGCTATCCAGGGCCTTGCTCCACTATTGACCAAATGTGCAACATGAGCATGAATCTCCTGTTAGAACACAGGTAGATACACTGCTAGTAATTTACGGCTTGAAATGCCCTTTTTCCTGGCCGAGTGTGGGGTGGTACAGCCCTCAGTAGCTTGCTATTAGTTTTTCGTTTTATTTTCTTTTTTTGGCATTCAGGAGGTCGTGGGTTCAATCCCCACGGCCGTCTGGGGCACTCTTGGTGCCATCCAACTGAGATAGTGAGCTGGGTCCTCCTAGTCGGTATCAGTAAGGTCTTCCGCCAACACGGGTGTGAGTGCGCATGTCATTGGGTTGCGTGTGTGGGAGATAGATAGATAGATATATAGATTAGATAGATAGATAGATGGAGAGAGAGAGAGAGAGAGAGAGAGAGAGAGAGAGAGAGAGAGAGAGAGAGAGAGAGAGAGGGGTCCAGTTGATGTAGCTCGGTGGTTAGAGCACCGGTTGGAAATGCACATTGTGGTATGAGGTTGCGGGTTCAAAACTCAATTGCAGTCTTGCGCATTGACACCAGCAGGGCGTTAGAATGATGCACGGCTGGACACACATACCCTTGGGCTGACGCACGGTAAGCTTATACAGACACTGCCTGCGCACCACCCAAGTGGACTTAGTCCAGGTTGTTGTATGCTGGGTCTTGACTATGCATGGGCTGCTTGGCTTGGTCATTGCTGGTTCTGATATTCTTCCCTGTTCTGGCATATCATACATTGGCATCAATTCACAACGTAGCACATATGGTAGGGCACTGCTGTCACATAACAAAGGGCATGGGTTCGAATCTGGCTAGAGGCTTTGGGGGCTTTCTTGCACAGATAGGGCCGCCATTCACACGACAGTACAACCCTATGTATACGGAATTCATCAGGGGCTTGGTGAGGGGTCCACACTACAACTGTGGCTGGTAGGAGCAGCACATACACAACTGGGGTGGGCGAGGGTTCTCAAGGCTTCGCGCTTGTCCTTTTTTTTTTTTTTTTTCATAAAGTCCATGGTGTTGTAGAGGCCAGTCACTGTGTACACAGTGATCACCTGGAGCAGTAGGCCATGGGTGTCCTGGAATATGAGACCACCTCCCATCCCATCCTCACGTCAATACTCCGAGCGCAACCCCTATCCCACTATCCTACCTCAGTGTGACCAGCACTCAAGACCATTACCCTACCAATGGGCAGGTAACTTGGACTGAACAACAGTGATAGGCACCAGGGCTGATAGGTTGCCCAGCCCTGGTGGAAGGGGAATCGGACGAGCCTACTTGTCGAACGGGAACTTCGGACGCCAGGCCCAGACAATCTACTACAGGCCCCAAGAGACTCTGGGCCGTAGGTTTCAGACAGGGTAGCACCCATTGAAGCAGTCTTACCGTCCTTCCCCTAGCTTACCCAAGGCCAGGCGGAACTCGGACTGGCCTGAGTGACCTGTACCCCTACCCTTACCCCAGTGTCTAAGCCTTATATATAGCCACTTGACAGTTCTACCCGAATATCAGTAGGAACTCCGGTGGCCCATACCTGTCCCTACCGCAGATACTAGACCCCACCCAGTGACTAGACCCCCCCAGTGTGATAGTTGTGTAGTTCGAAATGTATGTGTATACCCGAAGGCTGTGTATGCTTCGTGTATCTATGTATGAAGATGTACAGACAGCACTATTTGTGGAAACTTGTGTATGTAGGCCGTAGGCCATGTATAATTCGCAACCTATGTATATGCCCGAAGGCTGTGTGTGCTCTGTGAATCAATGTATCGAGATGTATAGGCAGCATCATGTGTGTATATCGAAGAGAGAACGGGGTAAGCTGGACAAGGACCCCCCCAAGATCCGAGCCAAGCTCGAACCCGTGACCTTGAAACATGTAATCGTATGACTCTACCATGTGAACGCTAGTGGAAATGGCATGCCAGACTGGGGAGATCAACAGAACACCCAAGACCAACACCCGCAAGCAACCCATGTGAAACCCAGAACCAACATACAACACCATGAACAACCCTTGGGTGGTGCGCAGGCAGTGTCTGTAATAGTACCATGCGTCAGCCCAAGGGAGTGTGTCCAGCCGTGTGTCAATCTAACATCCTGCCGGTGTCCATGCGCAAGGTTGCAATTGAGTTTTGAACCCGCAACCTCATACCACAATGCTCATTTCCAACCGGTGCTCTAACCACTGAGCCACATGCCCAGCCTTGGTATCTAGAACCATGAACTCGTAGATATCACACAGATAGCACATACACATGACAGGGGCTGGCTGTGGCTTTCAGGGCTTCGCGCTTGGCCTTGTCCCGCCTCGGTATCTGACATCTGTAGAAAGGAAATATACACATACACGACTGGGGTGGGCAGGGGTTCTGAAGGCTTCACGCTTGTCCTTGCCCAACCTTGGTATCTAGAACCATGAACACATAGATATCACACAGATAGCACATACACATGACTGGGGGTGGCTGGGGCTTTCAAGGCTTCGCGCTTGGCCTTGTCCCACCTCGGTATCTGACATCTGTAGAAAGGAATGAAATGCCTGAGTAAGGATACATAGATAAGATACAGATAACGAAAAAAATAACATGCCAGAATGGGGGTTGGTAGATGAAGTAGACATAATGCTTGAGCCTGGCGCCCGATGTACCCAAGTAACGTGGCTTGCTTGACTGTGCCTCAACTGGGGCTGGGTGGGGCTTTCAAGGCTTCGCACTTGCCCCTGCCTAGCCCCGGTGCCTAGAACTACTGTCTGGTCCAAGTCGCCCTCTGAAATAGGATGGTGATAGTCCTGAGTACTCAACACTGAGGTAGGATAGTAGGATAGGGGTGCGCTAGGAGAATTGCCGAGAAGGATGGGTAGGGAAAGTGGTTTTATGGAGCATAAGGGACTGTCAGGACTACCAATAGCTGTGTCAGTAACCCCGTGTGTCTGGAGTCTGGCTTCTACAACAACCTGGGATTTTCTATAAAAAAAAGAAAAAAGAAAAGTGGTGTGTGGGAGAGTGTTGGCTTTGGACACTACCATCCAGAAGGCTACCCATCCCCCACTTCATAAGACCTTTGCCAAACTTACTGTCTAGAACATAAAGCATGCTCTCACGCTTTATGGCGACGCTGAAACTGAAGGATGCATATAGAATTCTGCACCCCGCCAAACGTGCATACACTTGTGTTAGATCAAAAGGGCCAGCAGGCACATCCAATTCCAGAATTGGCTTTTTTCTTATTTCCGAGGAACTTATAGCCTTATAGGAACTCTACTGGTAGCGGACATTATGCCATCTAGTGCCTGCAAGTCCTTC